CTTTTGTATGTATTAAGTAAATTTATTCGGTAAAAATACGTTACTAGATTTCAACAAAACCTATATGTGTCGCACTGGGGTAACCCAAAAAAGTCAAGTGACTTATTTTCCCTTGCCTTCATCCACATCATTTCTTTCAAAAAGATGTTACATGAGAATGGGGGTGTTCTTCTTTTTTATTCTACCGTATCAATGTAGAGACAAACCCGACACAATGTAACTTGTACACAAACCAGCGTGTACACTTGTTTACAAAACTTACCTTTGCCCGGTTTTTTTACATAACTCGGCCCCGTCTCTCTCATGCACTCTTTCTCTCTCTCCTTCTCTTTTTTTCGTTTTTATCCATTTACTTACTCCTGACCTATTAAGCTACAAAAATTTTAAGGTAAATAATGAGTGAAACTGTATATACTTTTATCGCTCGGGATTCTTAATGAATAGAAAATTATTGGGGTTTGGTGGGTTGGCCCGGTATGGTAGCCGGTGACTACCCTACTACCAACCCTTTATTTTTTTTCAATAAATACTACTCATCTCACCCTATATTTTAAGGTAAGTAATGAGTGAACTGTATATACATTTTATCGCTCTGGGATGCTTAAATATCATAGAATTGTATGTGTGGGTGGGGTGGCCTGGTATGGTAGCCTGGCTGACTACCATACATACCACACTCGATTTCTTACAATAAATACTACTTGTCTCACCCTAGATTAAGACTATAAATATTTTAAGGTAAGTAATGAGTGCACTATGTGTGTATTGTACTTTTTTATTGTTTTTTGATGCCTGGTTCTATTGCTAACTTAATATATGTTAGTGTAAACTTGTTATCTAGTGTTTGTATGCATTTGTAAGTGGAAAAAAAAGGGTGTTCCACTTTACGGCGGTTTCCGCTTTACGGCAGTAGCCTGGAACCTAACCAGCCATATAAGTGGGGCCCTACTGTACTCACCTATGTACTCCCACATTATAACTTCAAACATCACTTTGAACCTTTTATCCATTGTTAACAGGAATATAATTGAACCATTGTTTTTCACAATAAGCATTTTAGACTATATGAATATATCCTTTGTCTTACACAAATTTAATTCACTTACAATTAATAGTCTACTGTTCAACTATGAAATAATTACTGTCCTACTGTACAACTATGATAGTCCTTAGTGTTAAGTAGTCTGTAAGCCAATAATGTTAAGTTGGCCCATAATGCCTAGGCATAATAGAGGCTCTCTTTGCATTGCAACCCACTATTGTAAATATAAAATCTCAATGTACTGTTTGCAAAGACATAAAATAAACAGTGTCTAGAATATCTTGCTGCCAATTTTGTCGAGCCTGGGACCCCAAAGCAACCATATTACTAGGGAAAGAGCACAACTTTGTAGTACCCACAGTCAGTGGCCAGGCTTCAAACACCTTTTATTGTACAGCAATAAAAAATTGGAACAGACTGTCTGGACATGTTAAAGCCAGTCATAGGATTAGCCAGTTCACATAGAAAGCCAAAAGGTGCCTAATGAATGTAGCAACAGAAAGGAAGGGGAATGATTTTTTATCTTTTTAGGAAACACACATGTAAATATAAATAACTAATTTTGCTTTATTCCCAGTATATCTCCTTTATAGTATGATATTAAGATATTAACTCCTTTATAGTATAATAATAAGACATTATGTCCATTATAGTATAATATTAAGGTATTAAAAGGACCACAATAGAAATAAGTCACACTGTCTGACTTCTTTGGGTTATCCTTGGTTCTCTACACACATGCTGCTAAGTATGATCTACATAATTTTATTTGTGTATATATGAATAAACTTACTTACCAACAACCACAGGAAGACACTGGGTAACCTACTCCAGCCACAGCAAGACACTGGGTAACCAACACCAGACACAGCAAGACACAGCGTAACCTACTCCAGCCGAAGCAAGACATTGGGTAACCTACAAAAGCCACAGCAAGACACTGGGTAACCTACACCAGACACAGCAAGACACTGGGTAACCAACACCTGCCACAGCAAGACACTGGGTAACTTACACCAGACACAGCAAGACACTGGGTAACCTACACCAGCTACAGTAAGACACTGCATAACCTACTCCAGCCACAGCAAGACACTGGGTAACCAACACCAGACACAGCAAGACACTGCATAACCTACTCAAGCCACAGCAAGATACTGGGTAACCTACACCAGACACAGCAAGACACTGTGTAACCTACTCCAGCCACACTAAGACATTGGGTAACTTACACCAGCCACACAACAAGACACTGGGTAACCTACACCAGCTACAGCAAGACACTGCGTAACCCACTCCAGCCACAGCAAGACACTGGGTAACCAACACCAGACACAGCAAGACACAGCGTAACCTACTCCAGGCGAAGCAAGACATTGGGTAACCTACAAAAGCCACAGCAAGACACTGGGTAACCTACACCAGACACAGCAAGACACTGGGTAACCAACACCTGCCACAGCAAGACACAGCAAGACACTGGGTAACCTACACCAGCTACAGCAAGACACTGCATAACCTACTCCAGCCACAGCAAGACACTGGGTAACCAACACCAGACACAGCAAGACACTGCATAACCTACACCAGCCACACAAGACACTGGGTAACCTACACCAGCCACACAACAAGACACTGGGTAACCTACACCAGCCACACAAGACACTGGGTAACCTACACCAGCCACAGCAAGAGACTGGGTAACCTACACCAGCCACACAAGACACTGGGTAACCTACTACAGCCACAAGACACTGGGTAACCAACACCAGCCACACAAGACACTGGGTAACCTACACCAGCCACAACAAGACACTGGGTAACCTACACCAGCCACAACAAGACACTGGGTAACCTACACCAGCCACACAGCAAGACACTGGGTAACCAACACCAGCCACACAAGACACTGGGTAACCTACACCAACCACAACAAGACACTGGGTAACCTACACCAGCCACAAAACAAGACACTGGGTAACCAACACCAGCCACACAAGACACTGAGTAACCTACACCAGCCACAGCAAGACACTGGGTAACCTACACCAGCCACAGCAAGACACTGGGTAACCTACACCAGCCACAACAAGACACTGGGTAACCTACACCAGCCACAGCAAGACACTGGGTAACCTACACCAGCCACAACAAGACACTGGGTAACCTACACCAGCCACAGCAAGACACTGGGTAACCTACACCAGCCACAGCAAGACACTGGGTAACCTACAACAGCCACAGCAAGACACTGGGCAACCTACACCAGCCACAGCAAGACACTGGGTAACCTACACCAGCCACAGCAAGACACTGGGTAACCTACACCAGTCACAACAAGACACTGGGTAACCTACACCAGCCACAACAAGACACTGGGTAACCTACACCAGCCACACAACAAGACACTGGGTAACCTACACCAGCCACAGCAAGACACTGGGTAACCTACACCAGCCACACAACAAGACACTGGGTAACCTACACCAGCCACACAAGACACTGGGTAACCTACACCAGCCACAGCAAGAGACTGGGTAACCTACACCAGCCACACAAGACACTGGGTAACCTACACCAGCCACAACAAGACACTGGGTAACCTACACCAGCCACAACAAGACACTGGGTAACCTACACCAGCCACAGCAAGACACTAGGTAACCTACACCAGCCACAACAAGACACTGGGTAACCTACACCAGCCACAACAAGACACTGGGTAACCTACACCAGCCACAACAAGACACTGGGTAACCTACACCAGCCACAACAAGACACTGGGTAACCTACACCAGCCACAGCAAGACACTAGGTAACCTACACCAGCCACAACAAGACACTGGGTAACCTACACCAGCCACAACAAGACACTGGGTAACCTACACCAGCCACAGCAAGACACTGGGTAACCTACACCAGCCACAACAAGACACTGGGTAACCTACACCAGCCACAACAAGACACTGGGTAACCTACACCAGCCACAACAAGACACTGGGTAACCTACACCAGCCACAACAAGACACTTGGTAACCTACACCAGCCACAGCAAGACACTAGGTAACCTACACCAGCCACAACAAGACACTGGGTAACCTACACCAGCCACAGCAAGACACTAGGTAACCTACACCAGCCACAACAAGACACTGGGTAACCTACACCAGCCACAACAAGACACTGGGTAACCTACACCAGCCACAACAAGACACTGGGTAACCTACACCAGCCACAAGACACTGGGTAACCTACACCAGCCACAACAAGACACTAGGTAACTTACACCAGCCACAACAAGACACTGGGTAACCTACACCAGCCACAACAAGACACTGGGTAACGTACACCAGCCACAATAAGACACTGGGTAACCTACACCAGCCACCACAAGACACTAGGTAACCTACACCAGCCACAACAAGACACTGGGTAACCTACACCAGCCACCACAAGACACTGGGTAACCTACACCAGCCACAACAAGACACTGGGTAACCTACACCAGCCACAACAAGACACTGGGTAACCTACACCAGCCACAACAAGACACTGGGTAACCTACACCAGCCACAACAAGACACTGGGTAACCTACACCAGCCACAACAAGACACTGGGTAACCTACACCAGCCACACAAGACACTGGGTAACCTACACCAGCCACCACAAGACACTGGGTAACCTACACCAGCCACAAGACACTGGGTAACCTACACCAGCCACAACAAGACACTGGGTAACCTACACCAGCCACCACAAGACACTGGGTAACCTACACCAGCCACAAGACACTGGGTAACCTACACCAGCCACAACAAGACACTGGGTAACCTACACCAGCCACAAGACACTAGGTAACCTACACCAGCCACAACAAGACACTGGGTAACCTACACCAGCCACCACAAGACACTAGGTAACCTACACCAGCCACAACAAGACACTGGGTAACCTACGTCAAGTAGTCAAGGTCATAACACTGGTCTACCTTCATGATAACCTGGAAATAAGTCTGCTAAAGTTTTCCTTGTTATATTACTTTTGTTGCAGCAATGCCTTCTGAATGCATCATTGTGTACAGATTTTAGATAAGAATATTTGTTTAGGTGCTATCAATAATAAATACTTCCTTCTTCATGACAATGTATGAGAAATACAAATAAGTGTAGATATTTAATGTTTGAAGAACAGCTGAGACTTCCTATGTTAGGTCATCTTTAAGATACTTATGCGGAGTCTACAATATGTAAACATGATCCAGATATAATTAGAAATTACTTATATATACTGTGAAACATTTGTATAAGGTTTAAATATATAACTAAAAGAACAGCAAGAACCACCTGTTGTTGTTGTTGGGAAAGAAGAATCACTGCAGCTGGAGGAGCCGTATACACACTACCGATACAGGAATTCATAATATATTGTGTAAGAAACTACAGGCTATCGGCATAGATCTCAATGAGGACAATATGCTCATTCAAATCCTTGAACAGAAGCCCTCCATATTTTCCTCGGCACTGCTGGACACTTCTCCAGATGAATCATAACAACTGGAACTGACATCGGCATTTTCTGTTCCACGGGATAGTATCCCATTCCAAACCACTGTCCCTCTCTCTCCCAAATATACTCAAATATACAACACCGAAATTCCACCAATCATCTCATGAATTTCAGGGACGCCCGATTACTGATCAAAGAAACTAATTTCAGCAGACGCAAGTGCCTTGAATCATCGCTAATCGCTGTTTCTAATACAATTAAGCAAAAGAAAGGCAGCTTCACCATCTCTGAAATCTTAGCAAGAATCCTCCTGAAAACAGTAAACCCTGCCATCACATAGTCTCTCCTGCTAATACTGTGGAAAATATTTCAATCTACCGAAGCTATAGTGCATAATAGGTGTTTAATGTGTCGATATGGGTCAAAAGTGTATTTGAAAATGGAATAGAACCAACAGGGAAGCTCTGCGCCTACGCTGATGGGCAGGGAAGAGGTAGAGGGGGGCATCAGGGAGCGGGAGTGTTTGGAATGGAGTTAAGAGGCTGTGAAAACATGGGACCAGGAAATTGGCGTTCATGGCAGCATAAGGATTAATATAGGCCTCACTTCATAATAGGAAGTGTCGTAACTGTTCCTGGTGAAGAGTGAGGGTACGTGATTTACGGGACCGCTGTAATAAGTGGTAAAATTAGTGAATAAGGGTAAGACCGGTGGTGACTGGTGCGACGCTATGGAGTGTCTCCATGGGAAATACCCGTGATTTAATCATCACTCATCGGTCTCAGATCTTAATGGAGTGACCTCTAATGTGCATAATAATTATGAGACATTAAATTGTCTTGTGAATTGTAATGTAATCAGTGATAATAACACTAAGTTAAGAGAATGCGTGAAGTGAAATAAGTCGCCTTGCTCCGAGTGAGTGTGCACGTGTAGACCTCATGGTTCCTGTCCCGAGGAGAGTGAAGTCTTATGGAGTCACGACTTCTAAACCGGGACAAACCAATGGATACCTCGTCCTGCTGGAATAAGAACCGTGTCGGTGTAGCAGGACATCGAAATGAGATGGTGAATGGAGAAAATAAGGAGCATCAATCACCCACAGTTAAGTAACTCTTCTAGTTATAACAAACTGATACTGGCCAGTTAGGTGTGTTGTAATTGGATAGGTTGTGGGTGATCCAGCTACATCAAGTGACCACCAGAGAATATCTGGTAAGTGGTGGTATTATATACAAGTGTTCTTTCCTTGATGGATATATACATGTGCAACCTACCCCCCCCCCTTCATTCAGTTAAACTAATATAATCTATAAAGTCCACAATTAATTAGTAGTGCCGTACTTGCGGGTGCTACCCGTCATACTGGTCTCGGATAGATATGGGTAAGCTTGTGAGGTCAAAGGAACCACCTGCAGTGACCAGGGGTGGCTAAGTTTTCTCACATGTCTACACAGGGTGACTACGGTAAACAATATGGTTGTTGTCTCCCAATTAGATTACTTGTATGCATGTAATGTTGAGGTACATACAGGTAACCCCTATAAAATTTTCCATAAATACTACACATGCACATTACAGAGGATGAACACTGTAACAGGCCTTCTCTAATCCAACCTCCAATAGAAATATTTGTCTAACCTATTTTTATGCTACCCAAGGCAGGAGCACTAGAGATGTGAAGACGATGTAATCAGTCCATTAACTCAAATCTCCAACTTTACGGGTGATGGACTGATTACATTGTCTTTACATCTCTACTGCTCCTGCCTTCTTTTGTACTCGGCTGAAGAAGCCTCTGTGTAGGCGAAACGTTTCGGAATAAAGTTTCCTAACTGTTGCCCCTGTGTCTTACCCACTACCACTAGTATTTATTACACCTCACTCTAAGCCAGTGGTCAGTCGTCACTTGAGGTCACAGGCCCTGAGCTGCTTTGGGGATTAGGGTGGACAGTTACAAAGCCATGGCTTGCTTTTGCAGTGTTTTAAAATATGAGGTTGGAGTGTTGAAGGAAGAAGTCTTGCTTCTCCAGGAGGAAATTAGGAGGCTGAAGGTTCACCTCAGTGGGTTTGGGATTGAGTGTGAAGTGGCTGGAATGGTGGAGGGGAATGAGGCTACCAGCAGCGAGGTGCAGTCTGTCACTCGCTGCGAGGAGGCTGTAGGTGGGGAGGTAGTAACGGCTACCAGCAGTAAGGTGCAGTCTAGCACCTGCTAGAAGTGACATGTGGTTCCCAGTAACTGGAAGAGCATCAAAATAAGGAAATCGCTTCTCTGTTCTTCAGGATGAGTGTACTTCAGTGACCAGTGAAGGTAAAGGTACTACTTTCCCTGCAAATAGAGGTAAGTGAATCCTTGTGTTGGTGACTAACAGGTAAGATATATGGACCGTGCTTTCTGATGTTATTCTGACTCCAAGTGACTTCGAACAGGAGGTAAATGACATGCCCATACGCTCTGCCCCAGGGCCAGACTCATGGAACTCCGTCTTCATCAAGAACTTCAAGAAGCCCCTATCACGTGCTTTTAACATCCTATGGAGAGGGAACATGGACACTGGGGTCGTTCCACAGTTACTAAAAACAACAGACATAGCCCCACTCCACAAAGGGGACAGTAAAGCAATAGCAAAGAACTACAGACCGATAGAGCTAACGTCCCATATCATAAAAATCTTTGAAAGGGTCCTAAGAAGCAAGATCGCCACACATCTAGATACCCATCAGTTACACAACCCAGGGCAACAAGGGTTTAGAGCAGGTCGCTCCTGTCTGTCCCAACTACTGGATCACTACGAAAAGGTCTTAGATGCACTAGAAGACAAAAAGAATGCAGATGTAATATACATAGACTTTGCAAAAGCCTTCGACAAGTGTGACCATGTCGTAATAGCGGTGAAAAGCTCTGTTCTGCAAGGCACAATACTCGCTCCCATCTTGTTTCTCATCCTCATATCTGACATAGACAAGGATGTCAGCCAAAGCACCGTGTCTTCCTTTGCAGATGACACCCGAATCTGCATGACAGTGTCTTCCATTGCAGACACTGCCAGGCTCCAGGCGGACATCAACCAAATCTTTCAATGGGCTGCAGAAAACAATATGAAGTTCAACGATGAGAAATTTCAATTACTCCGATATGGTAAACATGAGGAAATTAAAACTTCATCAGAGTATAAAACATATTCCAGCCACACAATAGAGCGAAAAACTAACGTCAAAGACCTGGGAGTGATCAAGTCGGAGGATCTCACCTTCAAGGACCATATTGAAACCTACACAATGCGTTTCTTTTCACTTTTTTCCTTATAGTTAGATAGAAAGAAAATAAAATTGTCATATTCTATACGTCTTACAAGAATCCTTTTTCAACAAATTTGGTAAGATGGACAGTGTTCTAGTTGACATCAGACGAAAGATAAAGAGCGAGATAATCATCGGATAGAATGAAATGAAATGCTTTTTTTTTTTTTTTAGGAAAAAAAAATTCATAAAAACAAAACCGTAATACATATCACAAGTCCCCTCTCCTGGATTATAGAACAATCGTTCCTCAATAACGTGTGAAAAAATCATGATGCTCCTATAAAAACTCTTCGCCAAAAAAAAAGGAAAATAAAATCAATAACTTATTCCTGAGTTATTCACGTATATAGTTTGCATGAAACTCTAGGGTGGCCGCGCGCCAACTGTCACCGACCATCGTAACTCCACTCTCATCTGAGGTACTGGTGTGTGCAGTGATCACTAGTAACTCACAAGATGCCAACAAGTGTATTTAGATAAAAACAATCACGAAAATCGTAATTTCTGGAGTTAAAAAAAAACCGAATTGGCATCCTGTCGTCTTGACCTCAGCAACAACAAAAAAAAAAAAATCGAAAAAGATACTTATAAATGTGCTAGAAACAAGCTGATTACATCAAAATGATGCCAGAATTATGCACTATTTTTGGGTAAGAATTTTTTTTTTTTTTTTTAAATTTTCGATTTTTTTTTCAAAGATAGTCTCTCAGAACGTTCCTCCTCACTTAACATGTCAAAGATACTCATAACCCAGCTGGAGCCTGGCAGTAGCGACATCCAAGAGTCTGCTTATTTTGCTGGAAGCACCATAGACACGTGGCTCCTCCTGCATGATAGAATGATGATAGACGGACTGACTGGTGTCAATCTCCGAGTCTTAAGTCAATAAAATTCAGTTGAAATTCTTTTCGTATTATTCTTCTCAAACTGCTAACTGACAATCCAAGATTGTAATCTACTCCCTCTCTGAAAGCATACTTATCCAGTTCATTAGTTTTATCATACATCTGAAGACCAATGTGAGATGGAATCCACAGCATGTGCACTCTGACTCCACTGTCCACAATCCTACCATACCTGTGTCTGGCTTCTGACACAAACATGCCACAATTTATACTTAATGAGTTGAGAGCATTTATGGATGACAGATAATCAGTTACAATTAAAGTGTCAACCTTAGATACATGAGTGCATTTGAGT